GTCTGAGTGGCGAATGGCCAAAGCAGAAGAGCTTGCACAAATGGTAGTTTTACCTGATTCAGACGTTGATATTAGATGGTTGTTGAAGAAAACACACAAGGGTGACTGTCAAATAGAAGTTGAACAAGATGATAATGTTTCGGTGGATATTTCCACGGGGACTTCTACACTCACTTCAATTCGACCACAGAAAAAGGAAACAAAAGCTCGCCCCCCTTCCGAAGCTGATGAAATTAAAAACAAACAGATTATTGTAGGTGAGAAGAGTAGGTTAGAAAATGAGGAGTTTTCAGGTAACCTTATTATTCCGAATGATGGGGCTGATTTAATGCAAGGGATGATAGTGGATGAATTGAAGGATGTGGACTTTCTTCCTCAGATTGTCTCTCTAGATGAATTTATGGAATCTCTTAATTCTGAACCTCCTTTTGAGAATTTGCCAGTAGATGCTGGACAGGAAACTCCTCTATCAGACAAGAAAAACTCAGAAACTGGCAACGAATTTGTGGATGCTACCAATTCCCAAGATCCTGTGGATACTACCCTAGACAAGGCTGATAAAGTGGATGTGAAACAAACTGAGCTAGCTGTGGATGTGAAATCTGGTGAGATCCCTGTTGAACGCAAAGTCTCCCCTTCTGGTTGCACATCAATGGCTGAACATGTCTGGGAAGGTGTACTTCAGCTAAATATCTCGGCCTTGGTCACAGCCATTGGCTTATTTCGAGGGTATGTTTTTTTTTATAAGTTATAATTACTGCAAGTTTTCCCATGCTGCACGCTGTGCTAGTCGGACCAAATTTGATATGGCAGCCTCACAGCCAACAAATAACGGGTGGTGGGCAAAACAAATCTAATTGGTGTTTGTTCAATTTGGGCCTCCAAATTTGGTCCGTGAATTTGTTCAATTTAGTATTTTGCATTATGTTACTAGATTGTTGACCGTATGGTGTTATGTGATACTGCTAGTATTATCTCATAATCTCATTAATGCTATCTCGTTCCTAGTTTCCTTTTACATAGTTCTTTCCTGAAAGTATGAGTTACTTTGTAATACTCACCTGTTGCACATGTGCAATGCTTGGCTTCACATTGCAAGTGCCATCTAAACTTTCTTCACTGAACCTTTCAATGAAAATTTCCACGAACAAATTGTCGTCTGCTCACAAATTTATTCTTTTTTGTTTCTGTTGAAGCTATGACTCAGTTTATTTGGCCATTTAACTCGGACCGTGTATAATGAGTTTCTTTAACAGAATAAGAACCATTTTGGTGACAGTAAGCACTTGCATAGTTACATGTAATGGACGACCTGTGATGGAAGTTGAATCCAAGCATCAACTGAAATGAACTACTGCTTGCTCGACGAATTTATAGCAGGTTTTCTGAAAATGAGATGATGTTTAACATGATCTTTGGGAGTTAATGGAGTTCTACACAATTTGTGCGAGTTTTTCAGTTTTTTTTTTCAGTGCTTTTTGCTGATCTCTTACTCTTCTTACAGTGGCGAGAAAACACCGACGAAAGAGTGGCCTAGCGCTCTTGAGATCAAGGGGAGAGTCAGACTTGATGCATTTGGGAAATTTCTTCAAGAGCTTCATATGTCTCGAAGTCGTGCAGTGATGGTATCTCAAGTCCCATTTCTTCTTTTGCTTTGTTCTTTTTCTGGACTCTTGTTACTTTCAATGCAGTGTAGCAATTCATTTATAATAGCAAATGACATTTGTTTACGACCATGGAGCTTCTATAGCAGCTACTGTTGCAAACCGCCATATAAAACACCATCGCTGTATTCGTGGATGAATGATGCGTATAAGAATGCCTTCCCAATTTCACCATTATCTACTTTTTTAACCAATTCTTCTGTGCTGATTGAAATTCTATCGAAATGACCACTTTGTCATGTAGTCAAAAATTTGACAAAATCGTGCAATTGGGGCATATGGAGCAGTGCACGTTATTGGTAGTGTGGTGGCTGTATGATGCTAGTTTTCATATCACTTGAAGCAAACAGATTCAAACTCTTTAATACCTTAAGAGCCCGCCATCTTGTTCTTGCATATCCTATCGACGAAGCATGACTTATCGAGAACCATGAGAAATCTGGTTTGACTTTCCATTGGTAAATAGATATTGAATATAATAGAATGATCCTTCTGTTTTGAAATTGAATATTAGTTTTTGAGATGCAAATCAAACACGCCGTTAATTGTTTAATAATCTTAGTTAATAACACATATCTGGGCCAGAGCGGGTATTAACTAAATGTTCGGGACTGATTTATTGTACTTTTGATATAATATATTTGGACGAGTATTATGCCCAGAAGACATACCTAATGCAGGCATCTAAAAGCTGACAATCTTTAGAAATGGATGATAAAGAAAAATTAGACACTTCGAAAGGTTAAAAAGGATCTCATAGAGAGGAAGTCATGACGATAATAGCTTGAGTTACATATACAGAATCAACTAATATGCTTTCGTATATGCCCGAAGTCATTTCAATTTGATTAGTCTTTTTAGCTAATGATGTTCTGGTACTCTACAGGTCCTTCACTTTTCTTTGAAGGATGCATCTTCCGAGAATGAGCGTTCAACTATTTATGAGGTAATTACGATCTATTTAGGGTTTTTGAGATTCGATTTTTTCTCTCTAGGTCATTAAGTCTCATTTTATTGCTTACCCATATCTTCCGTTGTCTTGTAGATGGCGAATTCATATGTTTCAGACGAGAGGTTGGGTTTTGCTGAGCCGACCCCGGGAGTCGAACTCTATCTCTGCCCACCTCACAATAGAATAGTTGATATGATCAGCAAGCATATATCTAAAGACCAAATAGAGATACTTAAATCTACAAACAATGGCCTAATTGGTGTAGTTGTATGGAGAAAAGCTCATTTAAGTTCCACAATATCACCCAACTCATCTTCACTTCATAAACGGGGCTCAAAAAAGCAACACTGCACCTCTAGAGGACACCAACAAAAAGATATCAATGTTAAGGTTAACTTGACATCAAAAGCTCAAACCTCGTTTCGACCACCTCCTACCGATCCTGAACCCTCACCCGGTGACGACGATATTCCACCTGGGTTTGGCCCGACAGCCTCCCGGGACGAGGATGATTTGCCGGAGTTCAACTTCTCTGGCAAGATCAGCCCCTCTATGCCTAAATTTCCTCCCCAGGGGCCCGGAAAGACCCCTTTTCAACCAAATGCCCAGGCCTTGTCCAGGCCCGTTAGCCAAATTAGAGAGCTTATACACAAGTACGGGCAATCTGAAACCTGTGTCACACCCCCTAGGAACTGGCAGGACGAAAGAGGTGTAGGCCTTGGGATTCAACCATGGAATGATGATGAAGATGACGATGATATCCCCGAGTGGCGGCCCCAAGTCCCCAACCCCCCGTTTCAGCCACAACCCTCCATGCATAGGCAGCCCCAGGCCCACGGTGGTAATGAACATCTTGCAATAGCAGCACCTCAGCAGAAAATGAGGCCACTAGGAACACAAATTGCTATGCCTATGCATACTCCAAATGTGGTGAAAGGTCTACAAAACATTACACCATCTAGGCATCAAGGTGGTAGATGGGTGCAACCAAATGGTCCCCACGGCCTACAACTTAGTAGCTTAGAGAATCGGCCCGGTGCATGGCAGCACCATGGGATGCCTGCACTTAGAGCTGGTCATCCAGCAACCAACTGGAGACAGGACACCCCCAGGAATAGGGGTGGTTTCTGATTTCCCTTCCATGTAAATTATTAGCTTTTCTACTCTCTCTCTCTCTCTAACCCAGATATGTGCAGTTCTGTAGCCATTGACTCTATGATCTGGTTCAGAATGGTTAGATGTTGAATAGAATGTAATCTTATTTCAAGTTTATTTTTTCTATGATTTTATTTATTTGTTTTCATTTTAGCTCTTGGACCCAGGGCT